CCCCCGTGATGCCCCACTCACCCCCAGTTCCCCGTGATGTTACGTCACTCCAGTCTCCCATGATTTTCCACGTCACTCCAGTCTCCCCGTGATGTCCCACGTCACTCCAGTCTCCCCGTGATGTCCCACGTCACTCCAGTCTCCCCGTGATGTCCCACGTCACTCCAGTCTCCCCGTGATGTCTCACGTCACTCCAGTCTCCCCACTCACAGGTAACAAACAGTCTTTTATTAACCACAGTATCTTACTTTATTAATCAGTATTCCCGAGTTTAAATACAAATATTGAGCTATTTATGATTGTAATTAACACTTTAACCCTCTATTTAATAAATATTTTTTTATCCAAGACACCTAAAATATTCTACACAAGAGTCAGTGTTTACGGTTAAAGAAGTTACTGTTATTTAATTAGATTTCCGATATTCCTTTCCATTTAGCGTAGTAGTTGTGCCTCCAGGTTCTCTGTTGTTGTTGGTGTTTCATATTACAGCGTTCGTGTACCAGGAACCCGGCTGCAGCCCACCTTAGTGTTAGCAGTTGTTCCCTTAGTCTTTTGAGCAGCATCATTCATCAGTCTTCATCCATAAGTTAATACACACACACACACACACATAGTGGAATAGCCTAAAAAATGACGTAGTGGAGGCAGGAATCATACAGAGTTTTAAGACGAGGTATGATGAAGCTCATGGAGCAGGGAGAGAGAGGACCTAGTAGCAGTCAGTTAAGAGGCGGGGCCAGGAGCTATGAATCGATCCCTACAACCACAAACAGGTGAGTACACACACACACACACACACACACACACACACACACACACACACACACACACACACACACACACACATGTTCCAGAGATGGGACACAGACACAAGAGGTCACAATTGGAAGTTGAAGACTCAGATGAATCAAAGGGATGTTAGGAAGTATTTCTTCAGTCATAGAGTAGTCAGGCCATGGAATAGCCTAGAAAGTGATGTGGTGGAGGCAGGAACCATACATAGTTTTAAGGCGAGGTATGATAGAGCTCATGGGGCAGGGAGAGAGAGGACCTAGTAGCAATCAGCGAAGAGGCGGGGCCAGGAGCTGTGACTCGACCCCTGCAACCACAAATAGGTGAGTACAAATAGGTGAGTACACACACACACACACACACACACACACACACACACACATCCAGTCTCGGATGTGACGTCTAGTTACTACCTCATAAGAGAATTCTTTCCCCCCACCAAGCAACCATCTTATATCCCCTAAAGGATACTCATATCTAAAGGATACTCACATCCCCTAAAGGATACTCGCATCCCCTAAAGGATACTCGCATCCCCTAAAGGATACTCGTATCCCCTAAAGGATACTCGCATCCCCTAAAGGATACTCGCATCCCCTAAAGGATACTCGCATCCCCTAAAGGATACTCGTATCCCATGAAGGATACTCGTCTCGTTACTGTCAACTTACTGTCCTCTAAGTCACCTCCCTCAGAGGACACAAATCGTCTTTTACGACTTAAGGATATATACTTTTCAATTTATTTATTAATCCAATCGACGCGCATTAATAGTTTTAAACACACGAACTATTGCCTCTGTTTTTACTTTAAGATCTGAGAACAGAAGCGAGACAGAGAGTATAGGTGATGGAAACTCCTGTTCACAGTCAACAAAAGTAGTTCAACTCCTGTTCACAGTCAACAAAAGTAGTTCAACTCCTGTTCACAGTCAACAAAAGCAGTTTTAACTCCCGTTGATAGTCAACAAAGTAGTTCAACTCCTGTTCACAGTCAACAAAAGTAGTTCAACTCCTGTTCACAGTCAACAAAAGTAGTTCAACTCCTGTTCACAGTCAACAAAAGTAGTTCAACTCCTGTTCACAGTCAACAAAAGCAGTTCAACTCCTGTTGATAGTCAACAAAAGTAGTTCAACTCCTGTTCACAGTCAACAAAAGCAGTTCAACTCCTGTTGATAGTCAACAAAAGTAGTTCAACTCCTGTTCACAGTCAACAAAAGTAGTTCAACTCCTGTTCACAGTCAACAAAAGTAGTTCAACTCCTGTTCACAGTCAACAAAAGTAGTTCAACTCCTGTTCACAGTCAACAAAAGCAGTTCAACTCCTGTTGATAGTCAACAAAAGTAGTTCAACTCTGTTCACAGTCAACAAAAGTAGTTCAAACTCCTGTTCACAGTCAACAAAAGTAGTTCAACTCCTGTTCACAGTCAACAAAAGTAGTTCAACTCCTGTTCACAGTCAACAAAAGTAGTTCAACTCCTGTTCACAGTCAACAAAAGTAGTTCAACTCCTGTTCACAGTCAACAAAAGTAGTTCAACTCCTGTTCACAGTCAACAAAAGTAGTTCAACTCCTGTTGATAGTCAACAAAAGTAGTTCAACTCCTGTTCACAGTCAACAAAAGTAGTTCAACTCCTGTTCACAGTCAACAAAAGTAGTTCAACTCCTGTTGATAGTCAACAAAAGTAGTTCAACTCCTGCTGATAGTCAACAAAAGAAGTTCAACTCCTGTTGATAGTCAACAAAAGTAGTTCAACTCCTGTTCACAGTCAACAAAAGTAGTTCCCCTTATCATTTTTTTCATTTCTGAAAGACTAGCTGAGGTTTTTCTTCACTGGAGGATTTTGATTTACCAGTAAAAGTCTAGTCAGTGGATTTATTTTTGCTTACAGAAGATAAGACGAGGGATGGTGAGCTTTACACAAGGTGAGACGAGGGATGGTGAGCTTTACACAAGGTGTGACGAGGGATGGTGAGCTTTACACAAGGTGTGACGAGGGGTGGTGAGCTTTACACAAGGTGAGACGAGGGGTGGTGAGTTTTACACAAGGTGAGCGAGGGATGGTAGGCTTTACACAAGGTGTGCGAGGGATGGTGAGCTTTACACAAAGTGTGACGAGGGGGGGGTGAGCTTTACACAAGGTGAGACGAGGGATGGTGAGTTTTACACAAGGTTTTGACGAGGGATGGTGAGCTTTTACACAAGGGTGAGACGAGGGATGGTGAGCTTTACACAAGGTGTGACGAGGGATGGTGAGTTTTACACAAGGTGTGACGAGGGATGGTGAGCTTTACACAAGGTGAGACGAGGGATGGTGAGCTTTACACAAGGTGAGACGAGGAATGGTGAGCTTTACACAAGGTTTTGACGAGTGATGGTGAGTTTACACAAGGTGTGACGAGGGATGGTGAGCTTTACACAAGGTGAGACGAGGGATGGTGAGCTTTACACAAGGTGAGACGAGGGATGGTGAGCTTTACACAAGGTGTGACGAGGGATGGTGAGTTTTACACAAGGTGAGACGAGGGGTGGTGAGTTTTACACAAGGTGAGACGAGGGATGGTGAGCTTTACACAAGGTGTGACGAGGGATGGTGAGCTTTACACAAGGTGTGACGAGGGGTGGTGAGCTTACACAAGGTTTAGACGAGGGGTGGTGAGTTTTACACAAGGTGAGACGAGGATGGTGAGCTTTACACAAGGTGTGACGAGGGATGGTGAGCTTTACACAAGGTGTGACGAGGGGTGGTGAGCTTTACACAAGGTGAGACGAGGGATGGTGAGTTTTACACAAGGTGTGACGAGGGATGGTGAGCTTTACACAAGGTGAGACGAGGGAAAGGTGGGCTTTACACAAGGTGTGACGAGGGATGGTGAGTTTTACACAAGGTTGTGACGAGGGATGGTGAGCTTTACACAAGGTGAGACGAGGGGTGGTGAGTTTTACATAAGGTGAGACGAGGGATGGTGAGCTTTACACAAGGTGTGACGAGGGATGGTGAGCTTTACACAAGGTGAGACGAGGGATGGTGAGCTTTACACAAGGTGAGACGAGGGATGGTGAGCTTTACACAAGGTGAGACGAGGAATGGTGAGCTTTACACAAGGTGTGACGA